AGGTTGTAGATGAAATTGTAAATGCATTTATGCTACATGCTGCTGAACAGTTGTGCATTCCCTCAAACGTTTGTTTCTGCAGAGACACATGTCGAGTGGAGAAAACGCTGCGTTTACAATGCGGCCTGTGATGGGGTTTATGAAGAACAGATGAGAATGTTGGCAGGTCTCTGCGTTTTGAGAAGCAATGAGCTCACATGTTTGGCTCAGGACTTCATAGTTTCGTCCTCGGTAGACTTTAGCAGCAGAAACAGTGAAAGCTCTGTGAAAGATATACAGTGCTGCATTGCAAAAGTACAAATGATTTCATCAGCACTGCCCAGAGTGTGTCTATAGTTCACTTAAATCTACGCCTTATAAGTCCCGGTGAGCAAACAAGTGATGATGGTATGAAAAGTGAAATTCATCCATTTTCTTCTGGTTTTCTTTTAATTAATAGATAAAGCTACAGTAGCTCAAAAGAGGTTTTTAAGAGTTTTGTGGGGACAGCTTAATTATTTTATGATTAATCTTCTTGAATTTGTTAAGGCAACTTAATCGATTTACTGTATTTTGGAAACAACATGAAGCAATTAGGTTATTAATTTGTAGAAATTTAAGTGTATTGAACATAAAAAACAATTAAGTTGCCCCCCCCCCCCCCCCCCCCCCCATCAATCTAATCAGCTCAATTACAACAATTTGTTTGATATCTTTTTTTTTTTTTTTTTGAGTATGTATCACCTCAACAGCATATTAATTTGGAAAAAAATGCAACCCATGCTCATTTTGATTACGTACTCCTTTATACATTTCTGAAGAGCACCAAATACATCCTTTTTTTTGCAGTTTTTGTTCTCGAATCCACCAGAGGTCGATATGTGTACACTTTTTGAAATCTCCGATTTCTCTTGCGAGTGACATTCGCGCCTGCTGTTCTCACGTAAGTCCACTAGAGGCTGCTGTTGATGGACTGACCGATCGACTGACCCACTTTCCTCCTTCCCTAAAGCCAACCAATAGTGTTTTCAAAAGCACCGATTATACTTTTGTTTCTGGTTAATGAAATAATGTGGTTTTAACTGATTAAGTTAATTACTTAAAATAATGCAATTCATTCCTTGAAATTATTCAGCAAGTATGAAAAATACATCCACAAAATCATTGAGTTTTGGCCCTTGTAAGTAAACCAGCAAAAAGATGCTAAATAAAATAGATTCTGATTCGAAAATGCATTTATTTATTTTTTGAGTTTGTGGTTTTTAATCAGATAAAACACAATTTTTTTATTAAAAAAAAAATCTTAATAAAAAGTGTACAATCTCACGAACCCAAAGTCGTGTTTCGTCTCTTGTTGTCAAACAATACTAAAAAATTATTTAAAAAGTTGAAAGTGTTGTGGTAAAGTCAGTTTATCTGCTGTGGTTGAATGTCAGCAGTTTATCCCCAAGATGCAGCCAGAATAATGGTCAAACATTTATTAGTGCATGCTTAAAGGGGGTGGAGCAGTGAAGCAGCAACATTGGTGGTGACAATCAATCCACAATAATTTAGCATTAGGCTAAATAATTAGGCTGCATTTTATTTATTTATTGAAATATTGTGAATTTACATAAGTACATTTAAATGAATAATATCAACAGAAAAATCTTATGGGGGTGGCCACAGGGGTGGTCAGAGTTTACATAGGGGTGGCAGTGGCAGGAAAGTTGTCTGTACAGAGATAAGCGGTGAGCTGGTAAGCAAGAAAAGGAGTGACGTCATACCGCCTGTTTGTTTTAAAGACAAAATGCAGCCATACGTACTTCTGGCTACATAATTCGCAATCTCCAGAAATGTATATAGGGCTACGTTTTCAGAATGAGCCTGTTTTGAAAAAAAACGGCTGCTTGGTAAAGATTTCAAATCTGTTTGAGGGATTGATTTATGAGTAAGTTGCTTACAAAATTGTAGGGTTGTTAAAATGTGATTAATTCGTTAAAAAATTAAGAAAGCTGCTAATTATAGGATAAAAATTACAGTAAAAAAACAATAAATATTACAGCTTGGGGAAAAATATATATATTTCAATTGATATTTAAAATGTATTTTATTTCTCTGATAAAAGCTTAATTTTCATCCTCATGACTCCAGTCTTCGATGATCCTTCAGAATTACTCTGATAACATAATTTGCTGCCCAACCTGTGTTGAAAATAGTTGAGCTGCATAATATAAAATTACAATTAATTATTTTTCTAAATTGGTAAATAAAAAATTAAAAAGAGATGATTCATTATTCTAAATTATTCCTAAAAAAATTCAAAAAACAATTGGTCCAAACTGTTTTTGAACATTAGTCTAATCATAAGTTGTCTAAGCAAGTTTTTAAAAAAAATGTTTGTAACAATGGATAAAATTATATAATAAACGTGCTGAGTCTTTAGAAATGTACACCCAGGGAAAGACATTGCTGTCCAGAAGTGATAGGGGTCAGGTTTCCAGCACAGTCCTGTAAATAGTAAAGCTAGCATATGTTTTCAACCACAGTAATTTGAAAACCAATCAATTTGTCATGCTGCAGCGACACACACCACATTACAGTGCTTTCACTGAAGACCCGGGATCTCCTCCACCCAAACTTCACTTTCACAGGACTTTCCCTCACCAGCACATGCACTGCTGATGACTGTGATGTTTGTACATGACTACTTTTACTGTATGGTTACCATCAAAGTTGCTAAAGAAAATAACAATTTTAAAATCAGGACTGGATGTGACCTGATTTCATACTTCTGATGTAGGTAAAATACACACCCTGTGTTTTTTTGAGACAATTAAATTAGAAACAAATGCAGCATGGTGCCGTACAGTAAGAATATTAGCTATACACAGTAAAAGCACAGATGATTCGGTGCTTGAGGAATCTGAGGTCTGGCTTTGGGTGCTATATTTAGTGCTGTATTTGCTGACATGAGAGCTGTGTATTTTTAGGTGAGCATTTATGCATACTTGTACATGCAGTGTGTTTAAAGTGCTGTCAGCGAGATCAAGTCAAGACATGGACCTGTTTTATTGAGCAGCGCTGCACTTCCTCTATGGCAGGTGTCATATTTTCACTACTTTACTATGCTTTACACTTCAGGCAAAAACTTGCACTGATGAAGAAGAATCACTTTTGAGTTTACTTTGAAAATTGAATAGCTAGGGTCTGTCTGTCTGTCTGTCTGTCTGTCTGTCTATCTGTCTGTCTGTCTGTCTGTCTGTCTATCTGTCTGTCTGTCTGTCTGTCTGTCTGTCTGTCTGTCTGTCTAGTCTATCTATCTGTCTGTCTGTCCGTCCGTCCGTCCGTCTGTCTGTTTGTCTGTCCGTCCGTCCGTCCGTCTGTCTGTCTGTCCATCTGTCTGTCTGTCTGTCTGTCTCTCTGTCTGTTTGTCTGTCCGTCCGTCCGTCCGTCTGTCTGTCTGTCCATCTGTCTGTCTGTCTCTCTGTCTGTCTGTATGTCCGTCCGTCCGTCCGTCTGTCTATCATTCTATCGACCTATCTATTAATATATCTTCATTCATTTGTTCATCTGTTCCATCCATCCATCCATCCATCCATCCATCCATCATTCGTTCCATCCATCCATCCATCCATTCATCCATCGTTTGTTTCATTTGTTTGCTCGTTTGTTTGTTCCATCCATCATTCGTTCCATTTATCATCCATCCATCGTTCATTAGTTTGTTCCATCGTTCATTCATTCTTTCGTTCGTTTGTTCCATCCTCCGTTCATTTCATCCATCCATCGTTCGTTTGTTCGTTCTTTCCATCCATCCATCCATCCATTCATCCATTCATCCACCTGTCCATACATCCATCGTTTGTTCATTCTGCCCATTGCTCATTTGTTTGTTCATTCATTTGTTCGTTCATACCATCCATCGTTCATTTGTTCCATCAATTCATCCATCTTTTATTAGTTTGTTCGGTCGTTCCATCCATCCATCGTCGGTCCGTTCGTTCCATCCATTGTTCATTTGTTCGTCCGTTCGTTTGTTCATTAGTTTGTTTCATCCATCGTTGTTTGTTCATTCCATCCATCATGCGTTTGTTCATTTCATCCATCAATCCATCCATCCATTGCTCGTTCATTCATTACATCCATCCTTTGTTCGCTCGTTCATTTCATCAATCCATCCATCTTTCATTAGTTTGTTCAGCCGTTCCATCCATCCTTCGTTCGTCCGTTCATTTGTTCATTAATTTGTTCCATTCATCTTTCGTTTTATTCATCCATCGTTCGTTCGTTCCATCCATCGTTCATTTGTTCATTCGATCCACCGTTCGTTTCATCCATCAATCCATCATTTGTTTGTTTGTTCCATTCATCCATCCTTCGTTTGCTCGTTTGTTCCATCCATCCACCCATCCATCTTTTATTAGTTCATTCAGTCGTTCCATCCATCCATAATTCGTCTGTTCATTCGTTTGTTAATTTGTTTGATCCATCCATCCATACATGCATTGTTCATTCGTTCGTTCGTTCGTTTTATTTTTCGTTCATTCGTTCGTTCATTTGTTCCATCCATCATTCGTTCCATCCATCCATCGTTCGTTAGTTCATTCTTTCGTTCGTTCGTTCATTCATGCCATTCATCCATCCATGATATGTTTGTTTCATCTATCGTTCATTCCATCAATTATTCGTTCCATCCATTGTTTGCTCCATTCATTTATCCATCCATCCACATCTCTCTGGTGTTATACTTTTCATTTTATTTTTAGATCAGAATTACAAGCATCCAAAATCAGTTCAAACATTATAATGCATGTATATATTCCACCCATTTTCTTCTGCCGGTCCTAAGTGACCTCTGATCTGAAGAAAAACCCATTCTGCAGATGTTCCAGCAGAGTCAACAAGATCAGTATCAGCCACATGTAGCCTCAGTCAACCTAATGAGGAGACACACAGGAGAAGCAGTTAGTTAGACTATAGAGAGTGTGACTGTCTGTCAAGTGTGTGTTTCAAAGCCGGTGTGTCTTGTCTGTCGACAGGTCGCGGGTCAGCGTTACTCTCTCTGGGACGATTTCCCGGTCCAGGGCTGTCGTGAGGGTCAGGAGGAAATGACCTTGGAGGAACTGCTGAAACACATCGAGGTTAAAGCACACACACACTGTCAACAGCAGACACTTACAGACATCAGACACCATTCACACTCACACCATCAAGAATGGGGGGATTAGAATATTATTATTATTATAAATTATAGTATATATTAGTATAAATATTAGAATATTAGTATAAATATTGTGTGTTCAAACAAAACTGCATTGTTTGATAAAAATACAACTGATTTAAACTTATTACAATATTATTAATAGTATTGGTATAAATAATTATTATCAGTAGTAGCAGTAGTAGTATAAATACTGTAATAAATTCACTGTTCAGCTTGAAATATTAGGATAACGGTTATTAGAATAACAGTTTAAATTGAGTTAATAGTTTTTATAGAAAAGCTGAATTTTCCAGTAGTATCTGGATGCAGCCTTTTTGATGCAAGCTGAGATTGCATCACTCAGCGATGCAATGTCAGACACAATGCCCTCAAATGGAGCGAGTGACATCACTGTGAGGGGTAGGGTTAGGGGTGGGGTTAGGTGAGCCCATTAAAAAGCATTGGATGCAGCTCAGATTGCACTGCTCCAGGTCTGCATCCTCTCTCGAATTTTTGGCATTATTACTTCACTGTAAAACCCCAAAAGTTAAAGTAACTCAAACCATTTGAGTTAAAAATAACAATCTATATGTGTACTGTGGATTTACTCTATTTAAGTTAAAGTAATGAGGTGATTAATCAACTCATCACTTTCAACACTGAGTTCAGAACTCTTTTCAAATGAGTAGAATTAACTTTCAGTACATTTTGAGTTACCTACACTCAACTCAAAGCTGACTGTTGGGTTTTACAGTGTTATATCTTGTCACATTACTTTGTTAATCAATATAACATGCTTATTTGGGGCAGCATGGTGGCACAGTTGGTAGCGCTCTTGCCTCACAGCAAGAAGGTCGCTGGTTCGGGCTTCGGCTGGGTCAGTTGGCATTTCTGTGTGGAGTTTGCATGTTCTATTATTTACTATTCTATTATTTGCAAATCCAAAGACATGAGCTATAGGTGAATTGGGTAGGCTAAATTGTCCGTAGTCTATGTGTAAGTGCACAGGATTTGCCTTGCGAAAGGCATCCACTGCGTAAAACATGTGCTGGATAAGTTGGTGGTTCATTCCGCTGTGGCGTTCCATGATTAATAAAAGGACTAAGCCAAAAAGAAGATGAATGAATGAATGTTTAAAGGAGCAAGGACATTTTCCACAGTATTTGGTATAATATTTGAATAATCTCCTAAAAATCATACACAATACATTATAATGTGATTCTGGATATGATTGAATCAATTGAATATGTGTTTTGCATTTCAGGAGGAGCATAAGCTGAAGATCAGCGGCTTGTATTACGGACCTGCTGTGTTGTACAGTGATCTCTCCAATCATAGCGATCGCATGAAGCTGAGGTGTGTATGCTGACATTCAGCTGCTTTTGAGTTAATTCCATGTTTTTTCTTTATTACAGTCAGACCTTTAACATTTATAAAAACGTCTGCAATAAAAGTAGTGTGGTAATTTAATAGTAGTGTGTTAGTAAAAAAAAAAAAAAGAAGATAGTTTAAAGTCTTCACAGTGTCTTCCACAAAAGCTTCTAACTCTTTAGTTTAAGTCGCAATTCATGGTATTAACAAACACTACTAGCTTAATAAACTACTAATTAGCTTTCTTAATAATATAGGTATTTGTCATTTGCATTATGGGACCTTGATCTCTCTTTCAAACCTTTTTAACCTTGGAAAGCTTACAGAGTAAGCTTAGCAAAACCTACAACGAAAGAAGTTTGGGGACTACAAAAAAATACATCTGGGTTAATGAGATCATAAACGCTTGAGGTTATGTTTATTCACCACGCTCATGCACCATGCACAGCAATGGGGCGTGGCCAGATGCACGGTAATGTTACAGCTGAGAAAGCTAAAATGCCATCAAAATGCTGCTGTTTCTACAGAGCTTGTTCTGTTTCTGTATTTGTGCTTCCAAAGGACACAACACAAAGAGAGAAGTGCTCACCGTTTAATTTTAATTATGTTTCAGAGAATAATAATAAATATAGAGCTAGCCTTTGACAAAGGAGAACTTTCAGAATATCTCCCAGTTCAGTGCTGGATTCAGAACCTCTGTTTCACGTCTCATGCAAAAGACAGTGCCCATTGACAGTATAGTGTCCTCTTCACTTTTATTGGGGCATTACACACATTAAAGGTTGAGCGCCCCCTGCTGGCCTCACTAACACTACTGCCAACAGCAACCTAATGTTCCCATGTGGTCTCCCACCCAGGTACTGACCAGGCTCAGCCCTGCTTAGATTCAGTGAGTAACCGGTCTTGGGCTGAAGGGTGATATGGCTCTGGCGTTATGGCATGTTGTAGCAAGGATGTAAATGAAGATGTAAACAACGGGAAATGCTGTTTGGCATCGCTAACAGTTTAGTTACAAATTTATATTTATCAGTTAAACCGCTGTAAACACCCACAATCTTCAGCAGCGCATGCATTGTCTTTCTATGCGTGTCTCTCTATGCAGACGTTTTCCCTGCGTTCTACATCTCAAATAACAAACTCACAAAAGATATGTGAACATTTTATATTACTTGCACATGCTTATTCCGAATATATGTGAAAGACACTTGTCAGATTTTATTTTAGAGAGCATGAGGTGTGTTCTGGCGTGTGCTCTTCATTTTCTGTCTGATTCAGGCTGCTAACAGCGTCTCTATTCACACAGTGCTAACAAGCTTGTAAGGGCATGATGTGGTGACGCGGAGCCGATCCGCGAATCACAGCACATTGTTAGCTGACCAATCAGAGCCTCTTGAGGGTAGGCCTTTTGGAGGAACTAGAAAATATGACAGCCATTTTCATGTTAGCAGTGTAGCTGAATATAATCAAAGAAAGAAATATGAAAAAATAATGTGTTTTTATTTTTTATTTTTTTTACAAATGAAGCATGAGCATGCATTGCTTTACATCTTATTAATACAACCAAGCCTTAAAATACACTGTGCATCACTCCTTTTTACACTCATTTTTAATAGTTGAAAGTGATATATTGTCTGGGATGGTGTTGGAAATTACCATACAACAATCTTGTAATAAACTACCAGCACACTTTCTCTTATTGTAAACACATACTTCTCTCTATATATTATTTCTTATACATTATATTATTTCAAACTACTAAAATGTCAATAAAAGTCACTTTGTCGACTTTTGATGTTGAAAATTCAACTCTGCAGTTTAACAGAGCAGAGATAAACATCCCAACATGCAATTCACAACCAAATAAGCACAATGCAAATAAACAGAAAACGCTTGTGATTCACAAAATACAGAAACTGTTAATTAACAAGATTAATAAATTCTGCAAAAGTATTGTTCATTATTAATTCATGTTCTTAAACACATGAACTAACATGAACCAATGAAATTATTTACTATAAAGTGGGAACTTTTGTTAAAGAGCGTTTTTAGGAAACAAAGGCATTGCTGCAGCAAAAAATAAAAATATTTAGTGTATTGTGTGATTACCTGTATATTATCAGCCTGAGAGCTACATGTCATTAGATTAGTCTAGACTGGAAGGTTTTGAGACTTTTTTTTTTGCTCCCTTAATGTTTATTTTTGGGATGATGGGGATTTTCCTAAAGCATGGTCTCCGGCTTCCAGCAGAACTGTCATTTGAAACCTCACACCTTCATTAACCCTTCACTCCCTCCCTCTGCATCTAACATTAGTCTGTTGATGGATATCGAGCTTTTCTCAAGCTCTTCCTGTCGCAGACAAAATTAGTCTCGGAGGACAAATTAAGAGGCAAAACTAAATATGTTTATTACCCCGTGTCAAGTTTAGCTGCTTCCTGCTGTTTATCTGAATGCATATGTTACTAATGTGTGCATATCTTGCACTCAGGGCTTGACATTAACTTTTCTGATCACCGGCCACTGTGGCTAGTAGATTTCCAACATTACTAGCCACTCGCCATTTTCACTTGCCACAATTTTGTTGTCGGGAAAATATATTTAATATGCATAAATTTGACTTTGACATGCAGCAAATTCCACTTTTCCAATTGATATTTGGAGCCAATTAATCAGGAAGTGACGATTTTTTTTCGCTTTGACTTTATGAATGCAAACGTTGCTAGATTCGCACGTCTTTTATGCAATAATCCAGTTTTTGCCCATAGATTTAATTTGCATCTTTGGATGGAGACATAGCTGATGTTTACTTTGTCACAATGCAATTATCTGAACTTAAACTTCCATTTCTGAAGTGATGAATCAAGCAAAAAAAAAAAAAGTTTGATAACACTATATATATATATATATATATATATATATATATATATATATATATATATATATATATATATATGTCTATATGTCTGATAATATTTTGTCTTCTGGAGACAGTCTTATTTGGGTTTTTTTTGCGGCTATAATAAAAGCAGTTTTAATTTTTAAAAAACATTTTAGGACAAAATTATCAGCACCTTTCAGCTATATTTTTTCAATAGTCTACAGAACAAACCATCGTTATACAATAACTTGCCTTATTACCCTAACCTGCCTAGTTAACCTAATTAACCTAGTTAAGCTTTTAAATGTCACTTTAAGCTGTATAGAAGTGTCTTGAAAAATATCTAGTCAAATATTATTTACTGTCATCATGGCAACGATAAAATAAATCAGTTATAAGAGATGAGTTATTAAAACTATTATGTTTAGAAATGTGATGAAAAACCTTCTCTCTGTTAAACAGAAATAATATATATATATACATATACAAATTTTTTAATGTTTCCTTATTTCACTTTAAAGGCAACGAAAAGAACTTATTTGTCACTATAAAAGTAAAATGACAGCCTACACACACACTAGTTGAAGAAAAATGCTAATCTTAGAAGAAAATATTAAATGGCATTTAGAGGTTTTTGCATCTAAACTCTTGACAATCGTCGTAATAGTGTTTTATTTGTTTATTTATTTTTACAGCTATGACTTTGATCTGTAAAATGTACTAGTAAAGGCTAAGAATAGAAATATTGTTATTAATGTATGCTGTGATTGTATTGGTTATTTAAGTATTGCTTAAAATAATTAACACTGCTTTTCTGCTAAATGTTTCTATTATTTTCACAAATCTAAAAAAAACAACAGCTGTTTCTTTGATATTCACACAACATGCACTAAACTCGTGTAAAAAAAATAATAATAATCTGTTAATGAACGCTTTCTGTATTTTGTGATTCACAAGTGTTTATTAGTTCTGTTTATTTATGGTTGTGAATCTCCATTATGTTAGATTTATCTCTGCTCTGTCGACTTTTGATGCAGAAAGTTCAACTCTACAGTTTAACAAAGTGACTTTTATTGACATTTTAGTGGTTTGAAATAATAATATACTGAATAAGATATCACATAGAAAAATATGTCTGTAAAATAACATAAAATGTGCTGCCAGTTTATTACAAGATGTTTGTTGCTTAATATCCAACACCAGCCCAGACAATATATCACTTTAAACTACTAAACATGTTCAAAAAGACTCTTTTTTTTTAAGGTTAAAAGTTATTGGAAGAAAGATCAAGCTCCCATAATGCAATTCAAAAGCAAAAATAGATGTGAAAAATAATTTAAAAACATGAATCAAAAATACAGAAAACTGCAAATTTCCTATATATGTTTTACAGTGTGGTGCTTGAGCTAGTCACTTGAGCATAACTATGAGCTTCCTGTTCCTCTCTAATTACGACTCAGTCTATACCACACCCTTACAATAATAAACACGCTCGTACATTCGTTCACAGCAGGGATTCTTATGCAACATTATCTTATGTAAAGCCGCATGCTGATGATTTGCCTTTTTCCATTTATCATTTATGCAGCATTAGTGATTTGGTGCGCCTTGCAACCAAGCATGAAGTTGCAGATCACCAGCAGATGTTGGAGATCATTCCCTCGTTTGAAGAGGATGAAGACTGCCTGACGGTCCCGCCGATCAGATACCTGCTCAGGTGAAGCTGGAGACTGCCAAATCACATTTACATTTACAAATCACATTTACTCACACTCTTAACTACTCCGTCAGTTCATACACTGCAGAAATTGTTGCTAAAAATAAAAGCAAATGTGCAAAATTGAATGAGGTTTTTCTTTAGGGGGAGAACATACAGTTGAAGTCAGAATTATTTGGCCCCCTGTTTATTTTTTCCCCACTTTGTTTAATGGAGAGAAGATTTTTTTCAACACATTTCTAAACATAATAGTTTTAATAACTCATCTCTAATAACTGATTTATTTTACCTTTGCCATGATGACAGTAAATAATATTTGACTAGATATTTTTTAAGACACTTCTATACAGCTTAAAGTGACATTTAAAGGCTTAACTAGGTTAATAAGGTGAACTAGGCAGGTTAGGGTAATTAGGCAAGTTATTGTATAACGATAGTTAATTCTGTAGACTATCAAAAAAGGGGGGATAATAATTTTGTCCTAAAAATGGTTTTTAAAAAATTAAAAACTGCTTTTATTCTAGTAGAAATAAAACAAATAAGACTTTCTCCAGAAGAAAAAATATTATCAGACCTACTGTGAAAATGTCCTTGCTCTGTTAAACATCATTTGGGAAATAGTAAAAAAAAAAGAAAGAAAATCAAAGGGGGCTAATAATTCTGACTTCAACTGCATATATATATATATTGTTTTTTTGTTTTGTTTTTTACTAATATACTATCAAATCAAAAGTTGCATTTGTTAATATTAACATAACTGAGTTACAATTAATCATGCACTAGGCAAATTTTGCCACCACAACAAATGTCTGTAAATGTTCTGTCTGCAAGTTCTTAAAATTTAACTGAAATATTATTTTTGACATTTTTGACGTTTTGATTTAGTGGCTAATTCGTATGAATTCGTACAATCTAATCGTTCAATTTAGTATGATTTGCTCATCACCTGGCGAAGTGGTGGCGCATTAGGTTGTGGTGTCGCCTCACAACAAGAAGGTCGCTGGTTCGAGCCTCGGCTGGGTCAGTTGGTGTTTCTGTGTGGAGTTTGCATGTTCTCCCTGCGTTCGCGTGGGTTTGCTCTGAGTGCTCCGGTTTCCCCCACAGTCCAAAGACATGCGGTACAGGTGAATTGGGTATACCCAATTCTCTATTCTCTCGCTAAATTGTCCATAGTGTATGAGTGTGTGTGGATGTTTCCCCTAGATGGGTTGCGGCTGGAAGGGCATCCGCCGCGTAAAAACGTGCTGGAAAAGTTGAATGAATGAATGCTCATCACCCAATGGCAGTTGGGTTTAGGGGCGGGGTTGGGTGCCACGCCTCCTTTTTAAAATCGTACATTTTCGTTCAACTCAACTTGTACAAATTTACGAATTAGCCACTAAACTGACAAAACGTAAAATACTTGCGTTTCCTCGTGAGATCAGGGTGAAATGGTAAGATTAATAAATCCCATTTACAAATGAATTGTTAGTTTGTTAACTAATATTAACAAACAAAACCATATTGTAAATTTGATTTTTGAAGGAGTCTCTATCATATCAATCAAAATCAACCAAAATATCAATCTTATATAGCTCAAAAAGAGACAGCAAGATGATTTTTTAAAGCTTGAAAGTTTGTGAAGTTTCTCCGATTGTAATCCTTACAATGTTTTAAAGGAGCTTTTCAGGTTTTTTCTTTTAAACACTTGATGTCTCCTGTGTGTTTGTCCCCTGTGGTTTGTTAATTCCCGCCTTCGTACTTTTGTTATGCATCTTGACCATCCACCCTTCGCTTCACTGTTATCATCATGAATGAAAACAATTCCAGAGCTGCTTCTGCTTGACTTAATCGAATCACCTTTGTGTGCGTTCAGACTTAATCACATTACAGCAGACCTGACAGCTGGCTTCTCCTATTCCGGTTGCAAGCCTAAAATGTTACTTTATTTAGCAGATTTCATTGTCATAATTCACACAATGTACAAAAATGAAAATAATTTGAAGAGGATGTCATACTTAAAAGTGCTAAATATGAAGATTGTCAGCGTTCAGAAAAAAAGTCATTGATTAATTACTGCTTTTTTCTCTGATTCTTTAATAAATTGAACTGTTGAACACTGGTGGCGTTTCTATTGCATTTGATTTACAAGAGCAACGAGCCTCGAAAAGTGATGTATCCTTTTTTTAGGCCATATTCATAAAAAAAAAAGGTGCAATAGTTTATAAACTCTTATGGGCTGTTAACAAGCTTATTTATACAATATTGTGCAGAAATCTTTCTTAATTTGTTCTAAGATCAGCTCATAACACCCCATTCACATGGGGCGTCAGCGTCAACGCTTTCCATTCACTTTGAATGGGTGACGTCAGGCGTTGCCGAACTGCTTTGTGGATCCATCGGCGCCGCTTCAGAGGCGTTGCTCGCTGCAGAAGTTGGAACTTGCTCAACTTTAAGCGCCGACGGAGACATCAGCCAATCAGATCGCTGTATGCAAATACACCAGCTCAGACAGTGGCCTATTGCTGACTAATTTCATTGATTAACCATGCTATAATGATCGCTTCAGCCCCGACTTCAGACACACCCTCTGTCGAGCGTTGACGCTGAAGCCCCGTCTGAATGGGACATGACAGTCTGATTCAAAAACAATCACGCTTGCAAAAACCCATGCGTACACATTGACAATGACGAGTGCAAAAAAAGAATCTCTGACATTAAGTTCCTGCTGGTTTCCAAACTGAACAGTCAACTCAAGTAAACGTTTGTCATCTTATAGAAAGTGAGCTCTGCTACTTTTAAAATCACTTGCTTTGACAACTGATAAAAAGTTGTCTCAATATTCTTGCAACCTGCATGTAATTTGGCATTTCGTTATGTTTATGGTTTACTAATGCTGCTTAGACGGTTCATTCCGCTGTGGCGACCCCAGATTAATAAAGGGACTAAGCCAAGAAGAAAATGAAGGAATAATGCTGCTTAAATGTGCCAATATACTGAAAGAAAAAGACATATTTTGCACCTGTATCACTGATGCCGCATATAGGGCTGCACAATATATGTCGTTTTAGCATCAATATCACATTGTTAGCATCTGCAATAGTCATATCACAAAGATTTGCAATGTTGAGTCTGAATCATGGTTGACCAGGAGCTGCAGAATTGTATTTAATCACTACCTTGACTTTATGTCCTGTTGCGAGTGCAAATTTCTACATTTCGAAGCAAAAACAAGATTTTTTTTTCCCACTCTCAGATAATTTTGCTTGTTTTAAAAAAAAAAAGTACTCTTAATTTTCACATTTCTTCAGATGTTAAAAACATAAACTAAACAATATTTAACACTTTATTTTTTTTTTTATATTGACTAAAAACAAGACTAAAAAAAAAACTTTCTCTCTCTGTACCATACTGTAAGACTACCCTAAAAGTAAAAATCTTGTGAAACTGTATAAGACAAATAAATTATCGCAATATCAGAGTTTTTCCAATATCGTGCAGCCATACCCCATATGTATTTGTGAAATGCAAAGCCTCCTGTAGCCTACTTATGAAATCAGTTGTATGCCAAATATGTAATTTACATTTCTGAAAAAAAACCAACAACGTTGTATTGGATGTAGTTATGATTAAGCCCACATGAACAGCTGTCGGCGATTCTCTCAGATGGCATCTTCAATAGTTCACACTGTGTGATTGTAAAGCTGTGGTCACTAAAGTTTAGCTTGCGAAATTCTGTCGTATGGCACTGCGAAAAGGGGCGTGAATAAACAAAATAATTAGAGATTTAAAAGCAATTGATTGGTCCATGTTTTAATATTCTGTCCAGAGAGGTCATGTTTTGATCCTCGATTAGTCGCACACAGTCAAGCGATAGCTCACCAAGCTTGAACTTTCCAACACAGCGAACTGCAAAACTTTTTCACACAAGCTTGCGTTTCGATCGAGCTTGCGTTCCCAGTCTGATGCATTTGTGTGTGTATAAACTGAAGTCTAAGGGGAGAAAAGTGGTGTAAAGGCAGCTTTACTCACGTGATTGAGCACCGATTTGCCCATGATTTCAGGCATTTGTCTGTGATTTTTCAACAACTGTCAACGAGTCGACATCGGGGCTAAAAATCATGCAGTCTGAACTCAGCCTGTTACTATACTCTCAAAATCATTCCTCAATTCTGCTGATTTTTTTTTTATGCACAATAATAGCAAAAAAAAAAAACAGATACTGTCTGATCCTAGTCATAGGTTAAACCTGCATATCGCACAGTTTAAATCAGATATAGTAATCCAATGAGTAAATTCATGAATTGATCAGGTGTAAACAAGCACTTTAACGGGACTCACAGTGTTCTCATTATTATCAAGTTTCATTAAAGATGGCATCAGTTGCGATGTGTTTCTATTAAAAAGAACAAAATGGATAAGAAAATAATTTTAAATAAAACATTTATTGCAATATTTATTGACACAACAAGTTAAGATACTTTCAGAAATAATCCCCTGTCCATCTCACGCATCAGATATATCCAATGACATCATTGCATATGATTGGCTGTCGGCTCCCAGACTTCATAACTGAGCTGAACTGGTAAAAGTCTGTTCCCATTGGGTGTAAACTGGTGTGTGACTGGTGAAAGAAGGGTTTAGGAGGTTGAAATCCCACAGGACAAGACATGCGTTTAGCCTCCGCAGACCTTCTCTCCTCGAGTCCTTTAGAAATGCCTGCGATTTTCCGTCGCATGTTCACTAAAAAGGCGGTTTTGCGACTGGGCTTCAGTTCTGCAGAATCAGGACATTCAGGAAGATCCATCCAGTTTTTGATCAGATCTGCAAAACTGTTGTCCCCCAGTACCAGTGGTTGCCTATTCCGGCCTCTTGTTAACAGAGACGTGGTCCAGTCTGTCGGGTCACTCGCCTCAAATGATGTCCAACGCTCCAAACATGCGTCCGATGTAGATTTAGGCCTAATTCGATTAGTGCGAACGCATGCAGACGACGAAACACGAACATTCCTGGTTCTCCTCAACACCACACCTTCATCCTGCCACGATGCTTCAGAATAACCAGAATCAAAGTCCAGGCTCTTGATGCTGCTCGGAGAGCCTTGAGCCAAACGTTCAGCGTGATTCTCCTGGTCTTCCTCTTCTTCTAATGGACTGGCCAGACAGCAGGCAGAATCGTAGGTACTCGTGTCGCTAACATCAGAGATCCGCAGGCGACTGAGCTGCTCTCGCTGTTTAATCCTCTTTTGACGGGCTCGTGTCACGTAGGAGCATTTGGA